GTGTGTGTGTGTGTGTGTGTGTGTGTGTGTGTGTGTGTGTGTGTGTGTGTGTGTGTGTGTGTGATGAGCTACAGTAGGAACACGCAGCGCTTCAGCATCAGAGGGAAACAGTTCGTACCTCAGAGCCATTTCTTCATCTGTGACGTCTGTTTGCATCCGGCTCAGGTCCTCCTCTTCCTCCTCCTCTTCCTCTCTGGGGTTCATCAGAGCCATCAGCTTCTGCAGGGACACACAGGACGGTTCCAGTTTAAATGCTGCAGAGCAAACACTCAGAGAGACTCGTCGTCCTGGGGTCAGGAGTCAGGGGGTAGGACACACCTGAAGCCTCCAGGTGACAGAGGCAGGGTCGTACTGGGATGCTTCTGCTGCAGTTGTACAGCTGAGATCTTACAGCAATATTTAAACATGAATAAAACAGCTGGTCGTTTCCATGGAAACCTTCAGTCAGACAGTCCATGCTGGTTTTAATCGAGGCTGATTATTGTTAAAAAAACGAAGAACAAACTGATGTTTCTTAGCTCTGTGTCCTCCCAAACACAGCAGTCAGGTAATCTGACACTCCGCGAGGTCAGGGGTCAAAATAAAAACAGGAAGTGGGCGTGAAATGACACACACCTCGACTTCAGGATTGAAGCCTCTGAAGGAGAGTCGGCCATACTTCAGATCCTCGCAGGGAACGAAACTCCTCTCCTCGATGATCAGGTTCCTGCAGGAGCAGAGACGCCACAGTATTAGGAACACCTCCAGAATAACATCATCCGCCTCCATGATCACATGACCTCTGACCCCTAAGTACTTAAATCACACTTTACTGTGTGTTCAGACTTCAAACCAGACTCCATTCAGAAAACTGCACATTAAGCAGCTGCATGAAGAAAGTCCTTTAACGACGGTGCGGCGATGCTGTTATACTCCTAGAGTATTTAAAAGTAGAATGGGAGGCGGAGCCTTCAGTTTTCAGGCCCCTCTTCTGTGGAACCAGCTTCCAGTTTGGATTCAGGAGACAGACACTATCTCTACTTTCAAGATTAGGCTTAAAACTTTCCTTTTTGCTAAAGCATATAGTTAGAGCTGGACCAGGTGACCCTGAATCCTCCCTTAGTTATGCTGCAATAGACGTAGGCTGCCGGGGATTCCCATGATGCATTGAGTTTTTCCTTTCCAGTCACCTTTCTCACTCACTATGTATTAACAGACCTCTCTGCATTGAATCATATCTGTTATTAACCTCTGTCTCTCTTCCACAGCATGTCTTTATCCTGTCTTCCTTCTCTCAGCCCAACCAATCACAGCAGATGGCCCCGCCCCTCCCTGAGCCTGGTTCTACTGGAGGTTTCTTCCTGTTAAAAGGAAGTTTTTCCTTCCCACTGTCGCGAAAGTGCTGCTCATAGGCTCGTATGTATTATTGTAGGATCTACTGTACAATATAACGCACCTTGAGGCGACTGTTGTTGTAATTTGGCGCTATATAAATAACATTTAATTGAATTATACATTTTGCTTGAACTAAAGTGGGCGGAGCCTGAATGACGCTCATACGTACTCTTTAGCCTTGAGCTCGGGTAGGTCCAGGTACCAGTGCTCATCACTGATGATCCTCCGCTCGTCCTCCTCCAGCTGCTTCTTCGTCTCTGCATCCAGACGTCTCTGCATGAACTGTGGACACACACACGTCACCTTCAGCTGACGTTTCTGTCAGGTTTTAACCACACCTGCGCTCATGAATGATTTACTGCACTCAGCTGTGATTGGCTGAGGTCTCCCTGCAGAGAACCACAGCTGTTTTTCTCAGTGTGAAATCTTCCACATCTGCAGACCAGATTTTTAAAGTAAAGGTGAAAATCAGCTGAGAGGGTTTCATTCTGATTGGTCAAGGCATCAGGCCGCAGAAACATCTTCTCCACGTTGGTTCAGCCTCCCCAGGAAACAAACCAGCACCCTGTAGGTTGTAACCGCCCCCTGGATGTCATATCCGGTTCTGATACAGTCTTTAAAGCATGAATTTCAGCCGTTGTTCCCATTATTAGTGACGTAAAACAAATACCTGAGCATCCACACCGGTTCAAATTCGCATCACGTGACAGATCATTTTAAAGTCAGAGCTTATCTTTAGTGTCTCATACTCATACACACATTATTTATTAATAAATTACATTTACAGCCTGTTATTAACTCTGCTGAACGCCGATTTACTCTCCAGGTCACACTTGACATCAGGTAATAAAATTCAGCTTCTGTGTGAGATTTAAAACTTCATGTGAAGCAGAAAACCTTAAATCATCAGATTTCTGAGTGGAGTTATGCGCCGGCGCATTACAAAGCTAACGTTCTGCTAGCTATCGGCTGCTAGCTGCTCTCGCGTGTCCGTTAGCACGCGCAGCTTCACTCACCTTCATCCGCAGCAGGTTTTTGGACAGCTTCACCGACTCACTCGCCATCTTTAATCCAAGAGAATGCGGCTAACCGAACCGGAGGACCCTCGGTGCTGCACACCGAGCTAACGCCACGCTAAACAGAGGCAGAAAGAACCGAGCGCCGAGCTGCTTCTCCAGCCCTGCTAATCGAGCTCTGATGTGCAGCCCAGGGGCGGATCTAGAGAAATTTTCTTAGGGTGGCATGAGGGTGGCAAAGAAATCAAATGGGGTGGCAAAATCAAAGCC